CCTTTTTAAAACATTCGTGAATATTGGCTTCGTTTTCTTCAACGGCCATAAAATGACGATCATGTGTGTTCATCCTATAGTTAAAGATAAGCTAATTATTTTCCTGATAAAGTGAGCGATGAAGTGCTGACACATTTATTGTCATACCTGGCACTAGGTTCCGCTTCTGCCCAGCACCGTACACCTATCTAGATGTGCCGCACATCCGTAATCACGGCAATGTATACCTAAATGTCTTGAGATGGATCTCGTTATGTTGTTGTTATGCTCACGGAGTCGATCGTTTTGACATCTTTTAGTCGGACGATATATTTTTATCCGACAGGACAAGGGAAAGGACTATTCTACCCCTCCTGTGCACGAAACGAAACTGGCCTGGTGCTTTTTTGTGCAGCTCGCTGAATATTGTAAAGGATTTTTCACTTTTTTGCTTTAGCTGGAAAGCTTGCTTCCAGCCGAGAACATAACGTCGATGTTGACCCTCTTCGCCACTTTCTTAAGACGAAGGGAGACGTGGTGGATATAAGGCACAACAATGGGTCTAGTTGACAGGTGTCTTGCTTTCCGTCTGATGGCATATTTTTCTGTTCTCTTAGAAGGTTCTCCGCCAGTGATTTTAATAAGGAAGTGTGAATAAGTATGTTAATGGAAACATCACTTCCTTGTGAGGGCGCGTGTGCTTACTCTCTTCCTCCCTCTCAAGTTATTTTTTTTCCATCAACCTCCAGCGTTAGCGTGATCATCTGCCAATCAAAATCACACCAACCTCAAGCGCCATCTTGATCATCTCAAAATCATGCGTCCCCCTAGTTTCACTTGCACAGCAGACCTACATGGTATGCTCTAGCCTCTCTGCTATGTCGTGGCATTCCTCAGCCTGAAATAAATATATCCCTTGTGGGGTGCACTCGCGCGCCCAAGCGGGAAGGGGGCCTCGCTATAAGAGTCAAGCGATCTCTGCCCAGCGGCAGTCGCCTCCGGGAACTGGAGAGGTAATAAACACTTGTCTATTGAACTGGATTCTGGGTACCGTACCTCCCTACGGGCAGCAGCAAGGTCAAACCGCTGCATCCTTTAAGATCATTATGGTGTTCTAGCGATAGAAACGTCAACCCCTCGGCGCCCAAGGTATCGAAGAACTTCTGGACGTTATGGTGTTTAAATCGATAGCAACTTTATGTACACTATCTACAGTCAGAAAAGGGACATCGAAGCTAGGCAGAAAACGGTTGTAGCCGGCTCGTTCCCCCCGCTCCTCGTGCTCATCTGGCGGTGCTCGAGCCTTGGCTTGTTCAGTCCGCTGTTTTGTCGTCTTCTAGACCGCCGTGGAAGTTTTTACGCACTGCCCCCGAAATGAACCTTGTTCATTTACATTTACTTGGTAGAAACTTCTAAAGGAAAAAGCAGTTGAATGGGTCTTTTCAGAAATACTCTGCCGGGTAATCTGATGGTACCATATCGTATTTTTCCGTCTCTACCAATAGAAACGTCTTCAACCGTTCCCATCTGCCATCGCTGTCTCGGTAGTAAGTTGTCTTTTATTAGGACAAGATCTCCGACTTTTATGTTGTGCGTCTTTGAGGTGATGGTTCTTTGCATATTTCTAGTCTCCAGTAAGTATTCTGTTGACCACCTTTTCCAGAATCTGTCCAGAACCTCTTCGCGGTGTTTCCACATTTGAAGAAGTTGATCTGCAGAAGTGTGGGTGACCTCTGTAAGTTCAAGTGTGGGAAAAGATGTCGGTCGTTTTCCCGTGAGGAAATTAGCTGGCGACAATGCCTCTGGTTCTCCTATGTCGTTGTAGACGTAGGTGAGGGGTCGGGAATTTATAAAAGCCTCTACTTCCGTCAGTACTGTGTAGAGTTCATCGGAGGCTAGACTCCTGCAGCCAAGGGCTTTTTTCAGCGACAGCTTGACCGAGCGGACGAGTCGTTCGTAAAACCCTCCCCACCATGGAGCCCGTTCGACGATGAATTTCCAGTGAATCTTGAAGGAACTGACTTGATTCGTGACTTCTTCGTCTCTAATAACGTTCCACAGGTTGTGCAGTTCCTTCTTACTTCTTTTAAATGTTAAGGCATTGTCCGTATAAATTATTTGTGGGATGCCTCTCCTTGATATAAATCGTCGAAAGGCGTGTAGAAAGGATGTTGCGGTCATGTCTTCAACGAGTTCCAGGTGTACTGCTCTGGTCACGGCGCAAGTGAATAAGGTTATATGAGCTTTCTGTGAGTTTGGCTTGCCCTTGACAAAGAGGGGGCCTGCGAAGTCAATGCCAGTCACCTCAAATGGATTGGCCTTTGTTACGCGATCGAGAGGAACGGTGCGGTGACATCAGAAGCTGGTCTTGAATTGTAACGTTGGCAGATAACGCATTCCTTGATCACCCGTCTTACCAACTGTCGACCAGAGATAATCCAGTAGCGTTCTCTCAGTTGTACAAGAGTATCGTGCACTCCGGCGTGGAGGAGTCTTTGGTGTTCTTGAAGCACGATTAGACGGCAGTATTGGTGTTCTTTTGGTAGAACAATTGGATGTCGCTCGCTATAGGATGCGTTGCTGTGTTGTAGTCGACCAGTAGCGCGTAGCAGGCCCTCCTCATCGACGAACCAAGGCATGTCCTTGAGTTTTGATTCTATAGGCAGTTTTTGAGCTCGCTGCGCGCACTTAATTTCTTGTTGGAATGATACCCGTTGTACTCTTCGAATCCAATACAGCTCGGCTTCGTGAATTTCATCCGTAGTCAGCGGTCCTTTTAGGTCACACCTGTGTCTCAGCTTGCGAGTGAACCTGATGATCCAGGCTGTAGGTCGGTGAAGTCGCTGAATTTCACTGTAGTGGGTTTCATCTAGTATGGCCGGTTCAATTGGTGTTACAGTTTGCAAGACGTTCGCAGCACTTTTCTCTTCCAACTCACAAGGAAATTCTTCCTTTGGTATCGTCCTCGGGGGCCACGTTGCTTCATTCATTGTAATCCAGGTAGGTCCTTTCCACCACAGCTGATTGGTAATTAGTTGCTCAGCAGATATTCCCCGTGTGATGAGATCCGCTGGATTGCCCTTTCCAGGACAGTGTCTCCAGTTTTGGTTTGTTATAGCTTGGATCTCGCGCAATCGATTCTGAACAAACTGCTTCCATCTGTTGGTGTCTCCGAGAATCCAGCACAGCGCAATCATAGAATCCGTCCAAAATTTTGTCCCCTTCAATTTCTCTTGAAAGTGAGATCTGATGTGATCACATATTCTCGCAGCCACGAGGCAAGCCAAAAGCTCTAGTCTTGCCAAGGTTACCTTTTTCAGCGGAGCCACTCGTGATTTGCAGAACATAAAGGTTGAACATGTTTCACCTGATATGCCCGTTGTGCACAGGTATGCTACAGCACCATACGCCACAGTGCTGGCATCCGCGAAAATGTGTAGTACCGTTCCTTGTGCTGTTTCAGTCATTTGATTTCTGTAGAACCGTGGTACAGCCACTTGACCCAGAAGAGGAAGTCCTTCACACCATCGATTCCACTCTTCTAGTATATCGTCGGTCAACGGGCTGTCCCAATCGGTGTTCATACGCCAGAGTCGTTGGAAACAAAGTTTAGCAAGTATAGTGAAGGGTACCAGCATCCCAAGCGGGTCGTAAATTCTTGCCTTTGTCTGTAATACGGCTCGCTTGGTGTCTGTTCGGTTTTGAGAAAAGTTGACGACGTTGTCCGACGTAAATGACAATACGTCGGAGCTTGGTGTCCACGTGAGCCCAAGTACTTTTACGATACCTGGCAACTCTCCTAGCGATACCTGTTGACCCTGGTCTTCGTTGATTTTCTTTAAAATATCTGGAGAGTTGGACGACCACTTGTGCAGTTTCATGAAGGCGAGGTTAAAAATTTCATTCGTTTCGGAGTAGATCTGTAAAGCTTGTTCTTCGTTGTCCGCACCCGTTAATATGTCATCAACGTAGATCGATTTCAGAAGTTTCTCATTGGTTTCAGGGTACTGTGGGTTCATGAGTCTCAGGTGATGTTGGACTGTCGCTGCTAGGAGAAAGGGACTCGACGTCGTGCCAAACGGGACTCTCGTCATTCTCCAGATTTCGATTTTCGGAAGTGGATGGTCTGCTCTGGCTTGCGTTCAAACCACAAGAAACGCAAGGCATCTCTGTCCTTGCAGTTGATGGAAATCTGTAGGAATGCCTTCTCGATATCCGCGACGAGAGCAATTTTATGTGTCCTGAAGTTTAGAAGTAGCCCCACTAAGTCAGCATTCAAATTTGGGCCGCTCTCTAGGTTTTCATTTAAGGGCTTCGATCGATGGCCGTGCGACGAAGCATCAAAACTACGCGGAGCTTGGTTGTTCGACTTTCCTTGACTACTACTTGATGTGGCATGTAGTAGGTGACACCGTCACTGCCTTCGCTTTCTACTTTCTCCGCCATACTCTCTTTTCCATATTTTCTTATGGCTGAGTCATACGCAAACAGGATCTTTTCATTACGTCTGAGCCTTCTGGTGAGCTGCATCAGTCGTTTTTCAGTACCTTCCTTACTGTTCTGTAGGTGTACCAAAGGCTTCCAAGGAAGGGATACCTCGTAACGTTCTCCGTTGCTCCTTATCGTTTCTTCGAAGTACGTTAGTACGGAGTTGTTCGAACTATCGCTTTCGTCTTGCTTCACTCCTATAGCCTCCAGATCCCAGAATTTTCGTAGAATGTTTTCGGTGTTCCTCGTTATCGCTGACGTCCTGAGTGCGACCGTTTGGGAGTGTTGTAACACTGTGGAGGTTAGGCTCATGGGACCGTGCACAGTCCATCCAAACGGCGTCTCGATGGCCTTGATATTGCCATTGAGTTTCATGACTTGTCAACTTACAAAATACCAATAAAGTTCAGCGCCGATTAAAATGTCGATATGGTTGGAATTGTCGTCGTTAGCGATAACCGCGATCGCATAATTTAGCTGACGTAGCTCCTGTACGACGTTGTTATCCGGTTGAGGCAGTCGTTGATCGCAAATTATGCTGGTTTCAAGAGCCTCAAGGTGGTAACTATGTCCATCGTGTTTGCTTTGCAGAGTATGAAGACCCTTCGAAAGTTCTTCTCCTGGTTATGTCCACCGAAATACCCCACTGAAAGTCGTTCGCTTCCCACAACCTTGCAGCCCAGTCTCCGAGATAAGTCTTCGGTTATAAAGGATCTCTGGCTACCGCCGTCAAACAATACTCTAGCCATCGCTTTGTTTTTGGTTCCAGAAGCCCACACTTCGGCCGTTTGTAACAGCACTATCCTTTGGTCCGGAGTCTCAGTCGTTGATTTTAGCTGTAACGGAGCTGTGCCCGCGACATTCTTTTGTCCGCCGTTTTTAAATTTAGGCTCGCACATTGTGGAAGCGTGTCGGCCTCGGCAGTGCCTACATGTGATTCTTCTTCGGCAGTTCTTAGACATGTGGTTCACAAGGGTGCAGCGGAAACACCTGCCGTATTTCTGTAGCATCGTCTTATTTTGTTCCAGTGAAACTGTCGAAGTGCACTCTTCCGTCTTGTGTTCTTTAGATTTGCAAATGAAGCACGGTGTTCTGAGATCCGTTTGTTGAAGTAGTGCAGACGATGATTGTTTAAAACTGTTCTGCTTATCAGGATACTTTTTACCTCCTGCCAGTGCATTCGTCTTTTTTGTCAGAGGGTGCTCCCATCTCGCAGGAGTATACGTTTGTTTTCGGCTTTCGATTTCTACCTTCAAGGCTTGGAGTAACGATGTTAGCGCTGCAGGCTGTTCTCTAGGAACTCGCGCTCGCGCTCCTTCCTCATTTTGTTCTTGGGCGTTTCCTTCCTGTCGAATTGCCTCTCTGTTGTAGTGAAGCATTATCTCTGAAGGAAGGAGTCTCACGAGGAGATGATGTAACATAGAAGAGTAAGATTCTTCACTCACCCCGAGAGACTTGAGTCCACGTACATGGGCCTGCACATTATCGTAAAGACTTCGAAGTCCACGTACGTCTTGTGCAGAAGGTACCGGGTTAAAGTCAAGTAGCTTTTCCATATGATCTTGTATGAGCCGTTTCTCGTTGCCGAATCGGCTAATAAGGATGTCTACTGCATCCTTGTAGCAGATGGACGTTGATGGGAGTCCGACGATGGCTGCAGCGGCTTCTCCCGTTAGCGAAGTTCTCAAGTAATTGAACTTGTCGCAAGCTGTTAGTGCCTCGTTGTGATGAACCGCTTGCTGAAATTGCTCCCAAAACGGTTGCCAGTGTCGCTGTTGACCGTTAAACTTGAGAAGCTCAAGTTTGGGAAGCTTTACCTTTAAGGTACTCGTCGGTTCTCCGATTCTTGCACTGCTTCCAGGGTTTGTTGTTTCGGTCGGGGTTCGTTGTTGTAGAGTTCGGATTGAGTAGTCCAACTGAGCCAGGTAGGTGACGGCGCGGTCGTTGTACTCGAATGCCCGGGTATATTCTTGTTCCGCGTCGTCCCCCAGGAAAGGCTCGATGGCGACATCTGTTTCGGTCATTTGGGTATGCAGACTACCCAATCCTTGCCTGAGGATTTCGATGTCCCGTTCGATAATCGGATCACGTTGAAGAGCAGCGTCGATGTCTGGTATCAGCCTTGTCAGTCGGCTTCGCAGGGCCTTCCGTTTCAGTTTCAGACGATCCATGTGTAGTCGTCAGCCGTGGCTTGAATGGAACGTATCAGTAGTCCTGCGTTAGTTGCTGAAAATTCGGTAGTTTCCTCGTCCAGGTTCCTCTCGTTGCGTCTCGTTCCCGGGTTTCGGCACCATATAGAAGAACTTCTGGACGTTATGGTGTTTAAATTGATAGCAACTTTATGTACACTCTAAGAAAAAAGGGAGCGCGACTTAGTCCCCGAAGGGAGCAAGTGCGTTGCCACAACCATTAGTCCCCTCGGGGACTAACGGGAAGGGGAGTAACAGTTGCGCCCCTCCCATTAGTCTCTCGCACTAGCACCGTTAGGACTAACTGTTACACCGTTTCAATTGCACCTCGAGGACCAACTGTTAGGCCCTTGCACTTGGTCTCCTGGGAGCAACTGTTACACCGTCTTAATTGAACCCCGAGGACGAACTGTTAGGCCCTTGCACTTGGACCCCTGGGACTAACTGTTACACCGTTTCAAATGAACCCCGAGGACCAACTGTTAGGCCCTTGCACTTGAACCCCTGGGTCTAAACGTTGCGCCGTTGGATTTAGACTCCTGGGACTAAAGGTTTATCCTTTGCATTTGGTCCCGAGCCACAAATCTCCAAAACGAAATTGTTCAGTTCAGGTTAAACGTAGCTTTATTGCCTCGTAAATACACATCGCATTCAAGGATGACTGAAGTCAAAGTTCCTGAGCGGTAGACTCCACGATAAGGCCAGATTCCGAAGAGTGCACTTGCGTCGACGATGGCTTGAACACTGGGCCGGCTGTCCAAACCGGTCGTGGTCCAAGCACCGTTTACTGGGGCACCTGCAGCTTCTTGCCTGTTTGCGAGGAATTTGGATTATTAGCAACAGGGGCAGCGTGAAATACCCGATCGCTCAGCAAAAGTATGAGATATAACGCACACAATTAAAATAACAAATAGGCTACAAAAGTGCTACAGTGGTTCACATCTAACATGCGATCTGATGACAGCAGACCAGCGCTATATTATATTTTTAGTAGACCGTTCGCTGCGAATTACAGACCCAGCGTGTGCGTGCTCAAACTATGCTTCAAAGTGACGGAACGAGCTCCCGCCATCAACGCGAAAGTCTGTACAATCGAATGAATGTCTCAATTAAGGCCGGTTCTCACACGCAGCGAAGCGCTGAAGTAGCGCTGCTCACGTGTCGTGAGCTGCTTTTCGTCTGCCATGAGCAACAGTTTTGACGGTGCGATACACAGCTGGTGAAAGCTCCCGTCAGCACGCGTTTAGCGCTAGGTCAGCGCTATGCTTGTAGCTCTCAGCTGCGTGTGTAAAGAGGCCTTTATGGTAAAACAATCCTGCCAGGGTCTGCAAAACACAAAAAATAAGCGATCGGTAGAACTGGCGTTTTGCTCGATACAATTGAATATCAGGTCTCTGTGCTGCGTAACAAAATAAGCAACCATAGTGCCAAAAAGAATAGAGCATGGCGCGTGCTTTGGAAGCTAGAGAACGAACTCAAAATAAAACACTTTCTGACACCGCAGTTAATGAATATACCATAAACAGAAGTACTTTGACATACCTTAATCGAGTTCCCTTGTCTTGTGACTTCAGAGCAGATCAAGTGCAGTGTTGCAGCACCGCGAATCCAAACCGGATCCCGCAATGATCGGAGACGACCAGCTTCTAAGTCCTGACGAAGGCTAAACAGGTTCTTTTCAAACAAAGACCCCTTCCCATTTTCCCGACGGACCCCCTCTGGCCCATCTGCCCGCCCCCTGCGTGAGCGAGGAATGCGGGGTGGGGGGTTGCTGGGAGGTGGAAGGGAAATCTTTTTTCCCCGAAAATCTCTTTTCCCCCTTTCACTACACACGACACACGGAGACGCCAATGCCCGAAGGACGGGAGAAGGTCGAAGGTTCGCCTTCTCCAGGGATTATTTTCGCCGTTTTCAACACTTCGGTCAAGTGACGTACAAGCAAGCACGGTTTTTTTTTTTCTCTCTCTCTCTTTTCAATTTTCTCGGGGGCCTTTTTTTTTTTTTTTTTTGTTCGCATTTGTTTTGTATTAGCAGGGTGTTGCCATGAATGACGTCCGGGCGCGGTTCGTTCTCCGTTGTTCATCTGGAATGTTATCTGAAACATCGACAACGATGGCATATGAAGGCGTCTGGATACTGCCCCTGAATGTGCTGTTTAAGTGGAACGTGCCGCGCATCAAGTGTGTCAGTGCGGATTTTGAGTTCGACATTGGACTACCGAGAAAGGTTGGTTACGGGGAGACGCAGAGACGAGGCTCGACCTGTTCTCAGTAACTCAGTTTTAGCGAGTGAAGTGACCATTTATTCTGGCTGCGAGACTCCGGTGTTGAAAGCGCGTCTTCTACAAGCTCTTAAGTTTCATTTAAGAAAAAAAAAAAAAAAAGTGCTAGAATTCAGAGGTGTTGCGTTTGGATTAATGCTCATTTTTTTGCGCGAAGGCAAATTACGTGAATGGGACTTGTGAAATGTCAACAGATCATTTTTGACGAGATAGTTGGGTGAAGTAGAGTCAACACTTTCGTTAACTCGCATTCGAACAACGCGCGAAGCTCTACCATGTAATGTCTGAACGTCCGTGGCACATTAAACAAATTCGCCAGTTTCGTCCGAGTTTTGTCAACACTTCCAGCCGTGCTGGGCAGAGTCTCGCCGATCCCCAAGACGAGCGAAATATCATCCGTCCTCCTGCCGAACATTTCGTTTGCCCTCCGGGGACTAAATCATACAGATGCACCCTGTCTGAGGGGGACTAATGGCTGCTTTTGCTCGCGCACGCCTATCGGTTAGTCCCAGTCGAGCGCTGTTAGTCCCCAGCTTTTGCGCGCGGTACCTAGCTTGAACCAGATGGTCCTTACGGGGAGCAACTGGAAGTTCAGAGGACCAAATGCTGCCGTTAGTCCCTTGAGGCCAACTTTTTTCTTAGAGTGTACACTATTTACAGTCAGAAAAGGGACATCGAAGCTAGGCAGAAAACGGTTGTAGCCGGCTCGTTCCCCCGCTGCTCGTGCTCATCCGGTGGTGCTCGAGCCTTGCCTTGTTCTGTCCGCTGTTTCGTGGTCTTCTAGACCGACGTAGAAGTTTTTACAGAAGGAACACCGGAGGGATGCAGCCGGGGTTACTCCGGAAGCACAAAATGTGAAGTAAGCATGTGTTTGTGCCGCCCAATTACGTCCCCATCCGTACTTACTGGGTTCTTTGATTCACAAAGTCACTGGCCAGGCTTGTGCGTTTCATTAAAACCGAAACAGACTACAATAACTGTGCGTCTGCATATATTTTAATGTGGAGATGAGGGGCGGGACGTGGTTTAACGGAAGTAAAAGGCGTTTCGTGAAGCCGAAATCTATGTGATGAGAACAAGAATAAACGCGTTTTGACTTCCCATAAACCACGTTCCGACGTTCTGATTGAGCAGCGTCCAAAAGATTTCCTATTAGATTGCATGCAGATGTTTTGTTGGTTCCTGGTGACGGTGAATCTCACAAAACTGACTAGCTAATATGTAGAGGACAGAACTTCGTAAATAAGACAAGAGACGCCGTTGGGCCACATAAAGGTACTGCCATCTACCAGGACCATTTCGGACATTCACGGGTCGACTTCTCGATCATTGGCTGGTCGTAATTCCGAATGAAAACCGGTCGGCATACAAATTGAGTACCAGCAGGTGGTATTTTATTTTCCCGATCACTCGGGCTGACGCAGTCGGTCACGACGCCAAGACGAACTTGAGGAAGGTGGAAAACATAGCCTCCGCACATAAAGTTATATCGGGCGAAAGTTGATCAACATGGCTTCAGCGAGATTTTGGGCCTAAAATACATCACTACAAAGCATCATATACCATGAAATAATTTTAATTGCCTGCTTACGGAATTACTCCATAGCCTCAGTGCAGCTAGAATATTGACCGCATTGGGGTAGACATGCGATACAAAACGTTTGATCTTAATTTGAACATTTTAAAGGGGCCAGAGTTCGACGTGTATTTCATTGGCAGGAAGGAGGTTGTGAAAAGGCAATAACCATTAGGATAAGTTGGCTAATTAAACATTCTTACAATTCGCGCACAAAGAGACGAGGACGAACGAGGAAGGAACACAGAATACAGACAGGCGCCCACTCACAACTCTGGTAAGCACAATTTTTACAGGGGACAACGGCACCAAGGGGTAAACAGTTCAGTCGCAGTCGAATGGTCGCAAGAAGGCAACTTCTTTTAGAGCGCAGCTTTTAGGCGCCCGTTTCCAGCTTGAGCGGCGTCGCCGTCGCCGTCGGCGTAACCGCGTGGTGCATTATGGGTAAATTTTCCCGAAGGAATCCGAGGTCCTCCGAAGGACCTCGGGTTCCTTCGGGAGGACCTCGGGAGAACCTTGGGTACCTTCGGGAGGACCTTGGGAGGACCTCGGGTGGACCTCGGGTTCCTTAGGGAAGACCTCGGGAGGACTTCTTGTTCCTCCCGAGGTCTTCGCGTATGACTATAAAATAGGACAATAGCATGCCTATAAAAAAAGACGATACCTGAATTTTGTATGGACATTCCCCAATAAAAAGACGCTAGAGAGTTGTTTTGCTATTTATAATCGCCATTTTAGCGCCTACCGCGTCAGTGACAAACATCAATAAAAGGGCGGTAAAGTGTCCATAAAATTTAAGCGAGGGTGACAGAACGGCGATAGGGGCGATAGAATGTCGGTCAGATGTCTTTAGAATGGCGGTAGCTATTTTATAGGGGTAGCCTTTGCCAGATGTTTCCTTTCACTGGATTACGTAGCATGTACCATAATTGCTTAGTAGGGGACATCTTTGTGGCATCAAGGCAAGCATAAATGTATCGTGCACATGCAATATAACTTTTTTTAGTCCTAGTGGTATTATTTTTTTCAAATATTTTGTTAAAAATGGCAAGCACAACATAACATTTACAAAAATAGAAAATAAAAACTCAAACCATCTGAAATTTAAAGACCCAACGTTTCAAG